TTTCTCCTGTCAGTTTACAATCTCCACCATACACTGAGCGATACAATAAATACAATGGAAAAAAAAGAATGCAGACAGAAAGGAAGGAGAACGTTCCTCCCGCTTCCATATTGATGTTAAAAAGGCTTATTTTTTTCTGGACAGCTTAAAAAATATTTTAAGCATTTGCTTTATTTATAGTAGCAGCAATAGAAATAATTTCTAGTTGGTTTTGTTCCAGATTAAGCTTTATTAAAATTCTACTATGTTAGAAGACTTCCTGTCCATTTAAGGTGAAAAGCTTTGTCCATGACAAAAGAAACTTATTATCATTTCAAAGGTTGGTCAACACTTTTGCCTATATACCTACCAGGCAATAATGACCAAGTTGGCCCTTTTTAGATAGCTGGAATCTTTAATCACTGCACTCTACTAGTTACAGATCATGCTTAATGCCAACTTCCATATAATGCTTTCATGAAAGTTCCTTGGAGAGAGAAAGCAGCAGCCACATTCTGATCTCTCCTCTTCAGATCTTCTGCAATTGGATTTTCATTTCCTAAATCAACATAATAGAAAAGAAAATCATGCCTGTTCTCAGCAAATATATGAAATATAATAATGCTTCTAAAGAAAACTTCATCTCTAGTAGACAGTTTTCTATAATCTGTTTAATAAACCTTGAAAATGACCTTTTTCTCTCTTGGAACTAACTGAATTGTAGAGCTTAGTGTCCTTTGGGTAAGTTCCAAAATGAAAAGTCACCCTGCAGAGTTCAAGTCTTTGCAGAAAGCAAACCAAGTCCACAGTACTTGAACTCCAGCAACCATTTATTATCAGGTATTGAGTCTTAAATACACAGCTAAATAGAGAGAGAATGCCCATACTCTGCTTATATTTGGACCTGGTTTTGAACCCTTAACACATGAGAAACTTGCATTAATGCAAGTTTCCTGAGTATAAATGGTAAAAAGACCTTTTCCTGGGCTTACTGGGTATCTTGAGGAAGGACATTGGGAATAAAGTGATGTCCTAAGCCAAATTGTACCACAGGCTCTGAGCTTGGAAGCTGCAGGGCAGCAAGACCCTCTCCAGCTAGGAGGGGACTGCATGCCCTATCCTCTTCTCCCCCAATGGCCTGGATTCCCTTGAGCACAGCCAGGGAGTCTCATTAGTTCCTCCATCTACTTCTTCCATCATGGGTCAGAGGAATCTGTCTTCTCTAACCCAAACCACAACCACTGCGGAAAGAAGAAGAAATCAGGGAGCTGGGACAATCTTCTCCTAGGCACAAAGTTCAGAAGGCATTAAGCATTTGCCAAGGCTGTTTGCCTTAATTTTTCGACTATCCTTGAGCAGGAATAGCATTTACATTCAGAGGACATTATTGGCAACATTATTTCTTGTGTCCTTTTTCTTGCAGAAAATGATCTTTCTTCTTAGAGAAAATATCAGCATTTTGGGCTGTTATTTTCATGATACAGCATTGTGTAGGGTCTTGCCAGAGATTTGTTATTTAAGAGAAAAGATAATCATGTCCTTCACTGCTAGTAAAAAGATGCATTGCTTCTTCTCCACTTAACCATTTTTGTGGTGCTATTTTGGATAAACGATCTTATGACAGTACAGTTTTGTCTTGAACGATACAGCTGTAGTCTAGGAAACTAAACATATCTTTCCTAGTGTTTTTATTTGTCAGATGAGTATTTTCAATATTCATGTGTATCTATTTTTTTCAAACCACCACAAAATGAAAAATATTATATTAATAAGACTTGAGCAGTTGCTTATTTTTGTATGTTTTAGAAAGAAATTTAAGTACAGACACATGCTTAATAATAATTCAATTGAACATTTTATCATTGTTAAAGGCATATTTTGAGGAATCCATCAACTCTTCTGATTTCCATACAAGTCAATTTACTGTCTTCAAAATGTAATGTTAATAGCACTCAGTGTACACACTGTAATCCTTTATAATAATGTACATGGCAAATGGATATGTTCTCATGCATTAATAATTTAAAAGTTAATTTTAAGTACTTAATATGATTAACTGATGGATCAGCAGTCTTATATATGAGAAACAGTGAGCACACTCAAAGAAAGAGCATACTGGAAGGCAGCCAGGTGGCTGCCTGCAATGATGCTTCAAAAATACCTCAGCTTTATCCCTTCAGTGTTGGATGCAGAGCATCATGGTCATAAAGGTGGTCTGGTTTTGAGATGCAGCATGTAAATTGCCTTAGAGGTTGAGCTAGCAGGACTTTTGGGGAAGAATGGGATGTTTTTAGAAGGTGGGCATCCCTGCAATGCAATCCTACTGGTGGCTGGCTGGGCTCTGCAGCACCAGACCAGTTATATAACTTCTCCCCTTTCACTTCTCGCTTTTTGAGGACACGCTGTAACGCAGGGCTGTAAATTGATATTCTAGGGTGGAAATACTACAGATGACAAAGTATAATTGTTGCATTGCACAGCTAAGGAATGTGCCGGGGCAAATAGCATTAAACAGTGTGTAGAAGAGGCATGTGTTGAAGTCCTTGGCCATGCCCACAGCAGCAGGTTGTGCAAAAGCAGCAAAAACTGGACACCTATTGCACAAACCCTGGTCAAATCATACAGATAAATGCACGGCTGCAAAAAAGATGGAGATTTTCTCTTCACAGGGAGGCACAGGGAGCAGAAAGCACAGGAAGCGGTAACAGGTACAAGTTTCACAAGGAGAGGTCTCACCTTGATTTTGAATCACTGAAAAAAAAATTTTTTTACAGTTGGAACAATCACCCACTGGAAAATCATCCCCAGGGATGGGATGGAGTCCCCACAACTGGAGGCTTTCAAGATGCAATTGGACAGGGTGACAATCTCATCATCCCTTTCCCATAAAAAGTTGACCCAGTTCAACTGGAGTTCCCTTCCAATCTGGGCAGGATCTACATGCGCAGGAAGTTTCTTATGTAAGCATGTGGGACTGTGATGCCAGCCTACTGCGAGTAGGTGTCTCCTTGCCTCTGGAGTAATCTCAGGCTGAATCAGATACCACCTGCATTCACCTTTTCACTAAACAAGTAATCTGGACAAGAGACATCTTCTCCTTTGGTGAGGCACCAGCACTCTGAGGCTGGACCCACAAAAGGCAAGATCACAGGGTGAATAGTGAGTGGTTCACAAGAAGGCAGACCAGACCAGCCTAGCAGTGGGAAGAGAGGGCTGAACAGGGCTGGGAAGTGACAGCCCACAGAACAAGCTCCTAATGGACTGGGTCAGGACAGGGCAGGACAGGCAGCAGTGGCGCTGACAGACTGAAGAGCAACGTACAACACTGCATCAAGTGGAGACGGCCGAAGGAAGCACGCTGACGAGGAGAAGCCGGGGGGGCTGGTGGCATGAGCAGGGTGAGCAGTGAGAGGGCAGCAGAGTCGCACGTGGGTCCGAGAGGCTGAGGTGACACACTCAGGCAAACTGGAGAGATTATTTGAGGACTTGAACAAGGAGAGCGAGTGGTGAGAGCAGAGAACAGAGCATGGCTGGAAGCAAGGGGACCGGGAGGGGGAGGCTGATAAGAAGAGCATTCCTTTGCATACAGTAAAGAAGAGCCACAGTAGAAGAAAAAGCAAGAGCGAAGAAGGTATCATGTTACATTTCGAAATATATTCAGCTCGGGCGCTCAGCCACAATAGTGTACACCTATCTGTATAGGAGGAAAAGCCCAGAGATTTCTCCCACTTCTCCTTGGGCTCAATTTCTTTAAATAAGGCTGACCACTTTCTTATGGGAGGTGTTTTTGCGTCTAGTGAAGTAAATATTCCTCTCCTCATAGAGTGATGGCTCTTGTTGGAAGTCAATACGTTTTAAAACAGTAGCGTGCAGCTTTGCTTCCCTTAAAAGAGCTTTTCCACAGTCCGAGTTATTTGCAAGTTACTTGCAAATCGGATGGCTCGGAGCTACCAGTGGTGAAATAGCAAAGGTCCCAGTGCACAGAAGCTCCCAGCAGCAGTCCGTACGACTGCTAGTGGCAGCCTGAGGATGCCGGGAGAGCAGGGCGCTTTGCAGTACGGAGGAGCTCTAAAGAGCCCAGCCGTAGAGTTGGCACATGCCGAGAGCCTGCTCCGTGCTGTCTGGAGCACAGGAAGAGGGGCTGGGGCACTTGCCCTGAGCAGTTTTGCGAGGAAAAACGTGACAACGGGACCGACGAGGTTAAAGAAAAAAATCCAAGCACAAATGCCTCGCCTGTGAATATGCTCCGTTGGTTTTATTTTGGAGAAAAAACAGCCCTTCCCATGAAAAGCACGCACCAGTGCTACCTGCGAGCGAGCTTTTGTTAGAGGGCAGGAGTCCCACCACAGCCCCACGATCTGCCGCCTCCAGAGCCGCTCGCCCCGGGACCCGGGAGGGCGGACAGGGGCGCCGCCGCCACACCGCCCGCGGCCGCCGGGGCTCCCGGCGGCCCCCTGCCCTCAGCGGGGAGCGGGCTGGGGCTGCGGCTGCGTGCGGCGGGGGCGGGAGCGGGGCGGGGCCCGCCGGGAGTCAGGTGGGCGTGAGGGGAGAAGGCGGCGGCGGGTGCCGTTAGCAGCGGAGCCGGCGGCGGCAGCAGCAGCGCGGACAGGCAGGCAGAAGTTTTCTCCGCAGATCCTTCCCGCAATCCGGGGTCGCCTTGCCGAGGCGCGAACGTCCCCATTCGCGTGGGGTGTGTTTTGCCCTTCCCCCCCCCCCCCCCTTTTTTTTTTTTTTTTTCTTTTTAAATTTATTTGTTTGTTTGTTTTTTTAATTATTTGATTTTAAATTTGGTTTTTTTTCAGTTTTAATTTTTTCTTTTGTTATTGTTGGTTTTGAAGCGCGTGGCTCCGAGAGCTCGCTCTCCCCCGCCTGCGCCCCACTCCACCCCGCCGCCCGGAGGATCCCCCTCCCTGCCCGCGCTCCCGTCCTCGCCACCGCCGCGCACGACCCTTCCCCCGACCCCCTGCGCCCGCCCCAAACTTGGCGGGTGCGCGGCGCCCGGCGGGGACCGTGCCGGCCGGCCGGCCGCCCAGCAGGTAAGGGGCCGGGGGGCAGCGCGGGGCGCGCAGGGGGGCGGCGGCTGCTGCCCCTGGGGAGCCACAGCGGGGTGAGGCCAGGCCGGGGTGGGTGAGGGCTCGCTGGCTCCTCGGTAGCGGAGGCCGGTGGGAGGAGGAGGAGAGCAAACTTCCTTTTCCTGGGGCCGCTGGCGAGCCCCCCCCAGTGCCCGCGGGGAACGCGCCCCGCCCGGCGCGGAGCCCCCGGGGTCGGACGGGGTTCGGCCGGCGGTCGCGGGGCTCGGGGGATCGGCCCTTTTTCCCGTCTCGGGGCTTCCTTGCCGCGTTTTGTTTGCTCGCCGGCTGCGCGCCTCGCCCCGGCGGTGCCGGGATCCGGGCTTTCCCGTCGCCCCGCGCTGGAGAGCGAGGAGCTGCCCCGCCAACTGCTGGTGGTGCTGCTGCCGCTGAAACTCCCCGGTATTCCCCTCCCTCCGTTTAGGGTTTGCGGGAGGGCTGGCGGATGGGCAGTTCGCAGAAATGCCACCCCGGAGTGCTGCCACCTTCCTGCTCATCCGCGGCGCGGATGTGCGGCGGCAGCCGGGCGGCCGTGTGCCTGCGGGAGAGCGGCCCTGCCGAGCCCCCGGCCGTGCCGACAGCCCCTCGCTAGCCCGGGAGACCCTCCCTGGGCGGCGGTGCGGAGCTTCTCCTGCCCCAGCTCCCCGCCGGGGAGAGGCGCGCACGCATGGCTCTCATTGTATAACTATGGTACTGCAATCCGGGGCTGAAACTGTGGCATCTTTATAACAGTTTGCAGTTAATTGGTTTGGCAGATGAACTCCTGCACAATCCTCTTGCCTGCTTCTGTTGCTTAAGTGTCATCGCCCCCTCCCACCCCTTTCCCCCTTTTCCCCGCTTTTCTTTGAAGCGTCGCATAACTTCGTATTGCCAGCAGGGTGGAAAGTGCTGATTCAGCAGCCAGGAGCCCCACTCCATCTGAAGTGGTGGTCTGGCTGAAATGCTCCCATTCGTTGAAATGGGAACATGTGTTGCTCGTATGTCAAAGCAGTATTGATCGGATTTTCTAAAACAGACCCAAAGAATGTGGTTTGCTTTTCTCTTTACTAAGGCAGAATGAATTTGGAGTTGGGGCAAAGCAGGATAGAAGGTATGTGGGCATCTGCCACCTTCAGTTATGCTTCTGAAGGGCAGCTGAAATTCTTTTGCCCCATAAAGGTGTTCATGTGTTTTAATGGAGATGTTGTGGGCTCCATCTATTCCTGTGTTCTGAGGCTAGTAGTTGTACTTACAGCTCTAGAAAAGGTACAGAGAAGGGCAACAAGGCTAATCCTAGGATTAAAAGGAGTGAGTTATGAGGGCGGGTTAAAAAAAAAATCACAAACACATGGAGATTAGAAAACCTGCTTGGAAAAGGGGAAATATGCTTGAAACTTTAGATGAGAGCTCTGGCTGTGCTTCATGATCATTTTGGGGCTGAGGCAGAGTGCGGGATGTAAGCAGGGGATGCTCTTCCCATGTTGTTAGTTTTCCTCCAGGGCTTAACCTCTCAGAGCAGCATAAGAAGGAAAGCTGTTCCAGAGCTGTATTTCTCTGGCTACCTTTGTACAGGTATATGTTAATATCAGAGCTGCTTGGGTTTTCTTTCTCTAACACTGGACTCTTTGAAATTCAGCACAGTGTAGAGGAAACAGCAGAGCCTGCAGAGTAAGGCTTGGTAGACTTACTGCAAACAGTAAACTGATAGAGCAGCAGACTCTGATGCTTGCCTCTGATGATCATTTTACCATGTTATAGTCTGATTTATTTTCTTCACTTGGACATCATTGAGTCTTAAAGTAGATTTTGTTTGCTCTGGCTACATATTAAAGATCTTGTACTTCCATGGTTTTCCTTGATTTTGTTAATCAAACTATTCCCTCTCTTAGCACTGTGTGAATTGGCTTTTATCCTCACATACAGCCACACCTGGATTTCAGTAGTTTATTCCTGTATTTTTTAATGCATAGTCTAAAAGCGCTGCCTAAATGCAAAATGTATCTCTGTATCTCAATTCTGCTGAAGTGTATAGTGTGCACTCTGTGAATAAAACAAGCGTTTGCAGCCTTCTGTCTTGTGAATGCTTAAATTACTCTAGCAAGAATTGTTATGAAGGTTTTCTTTGGTCATGTTCTCATCTGTGCTTGGGATGTAAATGGGCAAGAAGTATCTGGATCTTTCTGGCAAAAGTATCCTTCCGAGGCAGGGAGTTCCCAGCTGGCAGAGGAGAGGCATAGCTGGGTCATGCACTGCTTCTGCCAGCAGCGCCAGAGTGTTGCACTGAGAATTTGTTTTCTGACAGCCCCAAAGGAGCAGATGTCCCTCTAGATTATGAGGCACTGTCAGCTTCCCTGAAGTACGTGTAGCAGTTGCAGCAGGCAAACTGAGGGGCTCCTGGGTGGTGTCACTCTGGATGGGACCTTACAGTTGCTCCCTTTTGCTGTGCCTCTCTGCATGTGGTTATGGAGGTGATGGTGCTAAATGAGGCCAGGTTTCTAGGTATAACTTTTGCTTTTACCAGCTCAGCTCTGTCTTGCGAAGTGTGTGTGTATGTTTGTGTTTGAAATGCACTCAGGTGCTTCTTCAGACCACTGAAGTGGTGGAGGGGTGCCTTTTGATGACCAGTGGTATACATTTTTTGGATGCATTTAAGTATTTGCTCAATTAAAAATTTCACTGGTTGCAGCAAACACTGTGGTGAAACCCCTTACTATTTTCTGTTGGCCTTTTTATTCTAAACCTCTGAGTGAACTTTGTCAGAGGAAAAGCTTCTCTTCACTTTGTGCCAACGTTTTTGTCTGTACTAAGACTAAGGAAGCCTGCTTTTCTTTGGATTTATCTCAGCTATGAGAGTATTGATGTCAGTTCACAGTGCAGTGTTTCTTAAGTGTGCCCACCTGGCTCAGTGTTTTCATAAACAAGGAAGGTAACTCCTGAGACCTCTGCCCTCTGTCAGGCTTGCATGCAGCTTGCCAACTGGCTTGGCTACAGTGTGATTGCATAAGCCTCCTTCTGTAGGAAAGCAGGCTAAGAAGTTATGATTGTTTTTCTTGGAAACTGGACCTGCTCCTGGCCATATCCAAAATACACCAGTTGCAACTCTTCACCCAGGGAAATCTAGGAATGGAGATCCTTTACCAAAAAGTTGAAACCCCACAATCTTTTTTAGGAATTACAAGGAATGAGGTTGCCAAGGAATCCCTTTATTAACATTGAGCTTTATTTACAGGTTTGCTATCTCTACATTGCCTGCTGGTCCAGAGAGCATGTTGCAATCTAAACTTGGATGTGGCAAAATAGTCTTGATTCCCATTATATTTTCTCCCAAACGAGTGGCTGTTTTGAAACATAATATCATGAAGTAAACAGATGCCACCTCACTGATTTCTTTCTTTATACATGTTGAACTGTGCACTTCTGAACTAGTCCCATGCCAGGTCTTTTTTATTCTCATGCCATCTGTTGAATTGGACAGCAGTTCTCTCTTTAGCTCAATATGGCTCCTCTGTTGCATCGGGAATGTGGAGAGAAAGCCAGATTCCACTATGAGAGCATCATTAAAGAAAACTGTTGATCAGTGTAAGGTGTCCTGTCCAAAAACAGTCACTTGAAGTCTTCAGTGATGAAACAACTAGAATAGCCTGACTTTATAAGATTTGGTTGGGTATATTCAGCATTCCCTTTTCTTATATGCTTTATTCCCCCTGGATGCCATCTTGTCAGCAGGTACATATGTAGAGAGACAGACAGACACTATGTTTATTGTATGGGTCCAATAATCTGGAAATTATGGTGTTTTTGGTTTCTAGCAGCTTTTGGACTTCAAACGTACATAGGAACACTGAGTATCAGTGCCAAGGTATCCTGAAACTCATTATTAAAGCGATGTTCACATTCACACTATTGTGCATCCATTGACTGAAAACTTCCTTCCCTCTTTGCCTTCCTAGGATCTTTCATAAGTCATAAGTGGATCAGTTCATACAGGGCATATGGACGTGGATTTCAGGACTGAAGGCATTGCAAGTTCATCCTCTGCTTTAGAGTAGTGCCCTTGTGAACAGTTCTGTCTTTCCTGATACCTGTAACAGAAAAGACCAGGGAATTCTGTTTCATGGTGAGGAGTCACAAAATTATGAGATTATGAGCACTGGGTGAGTCACTTTCTGCTAGAAGGTGGCAGCAGCTTTATGACTGTTGCTTGGGTTTTTAGAGGCAATCAACCTGTAGTGGCATTGACCAGAGACTCAGGTGTGGATCAAACAAAAATATAGTCAGAATGAGTAAGAATGGGTTCTTAAAAGCCCAACACTAATGCTCATTTACAAGTCAAGAGAGTTTTTAATGAAATCTGCTAATTGCATCCCAATTAGTTAACCCATGGGGAATGCAGATTACCACTCCTGAATGCAAAAGCTGTTGTGAAGATCAGTTGTTTTAAAATGTTTTAAATGTTTTAAAAGCAGTGTAGGACACCTTCTCCTGTATCATGGATAACATGTAACTACTGCTGTGAATTAGTGTGAGGGACCTTCTTCTTCCTGAATCCTTTCAGAAACCTTTAGTAAGTCATTATATCCCTGTGTGTCAAATGATGATTTTGGAGTGAGTAAAATTGTAGAGGAAAATGTGTAGTTCTCTGATGTATGATACAAAATAAAATTACAGATTATATTAAACTTGTGGGTTGCCAAACTCGATCTGCAATAATCTAGGCACACGGTGTGAAAATCTACCTCATTGATACTGAGAGAGGTGAAATATGTTTCTTTTGGACCTCTGCAACTTTCAAGACTGCTGTCTTTGAGATTGTTTTTTCAGTTACAGTGGGATAAGGCATATTTTCTAGAATAGTTTGACCTCTTCTTGGCTAAGGGATCAGCAGTGAGAAATTCCCCTTCTACCACATGATGATGGAACAGACTGTTTATTCTTCCCTAAAGTGAGAACTGGGGAGAGGGTGAGGGGGGTTGAAAGTCTTGATTATA